TCATCATCTTCCGGTTCCACCACAATTTCTGGTTCTTCATCAAAAACATCACCATCCTCCTTCTGGTACGCCGTTCCTAACACAATTTCCTCCTCCAGATCCAACCCTACTACTAGAGGCGGCACGGTAATCTCTTCGTCCTCCTTGACCATGGTGCTGATGATTGCTAGATCTAGTGATGAAGAAGCAATACTGGTAGTTTTTGCCGAGCTGTTTACAGTCGTACCCTGAGCTCAAAGTCGTTCTGCAGATTTTTTCGTTGGTACCTGGTATTGGTACACCGGTACATCACGCTTTACGGCCCAAGAGTGAAAAGGCTCTATCAATCTAGGCTTTCTCACAAGGTTCTCACTTTCTTAATTAAAAATTCCTTCCATGCCACTCTTTTGCTCTCCAAGGATACGTAAGGCTTAACAACATTCTTGCTATCTTCTCAAAAGAACATTCCTGAGCGATCTTTCGTAAATCTTGAAGAAACAAAAAGATTCGGTCTCCCCTTTCAGCTTTCAGCTTTCACAGCTCTTTTCAAACGCTGTTTTGTTTTCTGTTTTGTTGCTTGGACGACAACTGGCCTCCATCATCAATCATCGCCACAAGGAACGTTACTGTTCTGGTTTAGAGTAGCCATCATCAACATCACTCCAACAGCAATGTTTCCCTCCTCTACTTGTCAAACAAGATTGTTACTACTCGCCACTCTTGCCTTGCTGTTGTTGCTCCCAACTGCCACGGCCGAAAATCATCTCCGTCGACAGTTGCAACAAGGAGACAGCTGCCATGGGACCAATTACGTGTGTAGTTTCTACTACAACGATGGAGGCTCGTGTTCCGATATTTCGGGTTGCAGTTGGTCGTTTGCGGGAGAATGCTCCGAAAGTGGATGTTGTCAAGGTGTTGCCAAGCAGTGCGATGAAATGAGCAGTGAAACGCCCTGTTTGGCGCAAGGCTGCAAATGGGGGCCTGCGCCGCCCAATTGTTTCTCGGGGGGCATGGTCGTGCCTATGTTAGGAAATGGGATGAAAGCAATGAAGGACTTGCAAGTGGGAGATTGGGTGTGGACGGGAAAGTCCAGGTACCAGCCGATTTACGCCTTTGGACACTATGATCCAGGCGAGACTGTGGAATTTCTGCAAATTCACGTGAAAGCAGGAGACAGTAGTGATTCACAACAACACCAACAAAATGACAATGTATCGATAATGGAAATTACAGGGGATCATCTGATTTATGTTCAGGGCAAGAAATATCCCGTGCCAGCAGCAACCGTCCAATTGGGCGACTCGTTGTGGAGCCAAGCGACAGAAAAGCCAGCCCCAGTAATTGCCATCACCACGGCACAGAAACAAGGAATTTATGCACCCCTCACGGCAGACGGCACCATTGTGGTTGGCCAAGGATGGATCCTGGCTTCCACGTACACCACACTACAGGATCGTCATGACGACGACGACGACAGTGGCATGTACGCCACGTTTCGCACTACCAATGGCCTACTATCCTCGCTTTTATTACCAAAAGTCTCCCATCATGACATTGCCCACACATGTGTGGCTCCCTTTCGCATCTTTTGTTTGGTATGGGGCCGTGGATCACAGTGGTGTCACCCAAACAATAACAATGATGGCATGCCCACATTTGTCCGCAAAGCATTCCAATGGGCGCGTTGGTTGGACACGCAGAGCATGATGGTGCAGATTACGACCTGGGCTCTCTTTCAGGTATTTCGTGTGATCGTGGTTCCTCTGGAAAGCGTCATCCTGGCAGCAACAACAATAACAATCCACTCTTCTGGGAATGATAAAGCGTTCTGGGTGACAGCAGTTGTGCTGGTTGCCACAGCCATTTGGATTTTGCTGCGATACAAAATCAACTTTCGGTTGGGGTTCCACAAGGCGAACTAGACTACTAGCCTCCAAGAGCCGAGTTTGGCCGGCGGTTAGAAGATGGTACCGTAGTGGAGACACTTCATGAGACTTTCCCTTTGTCAAGTATGTATGGGAATTGGGATACTTGGTCAGTTTTGAGTTTTTAAAAGGCAGAAAGATACCGGTACCGGTACGGGAGGTACCAGCCGGTGGTTGCCAGCAATGCGATGTGTATTTTAGCGAAACAGAAAGTGTAGTTTTACTTTGGATTTCTTATGATACTTGGAGACGTGTCTTGCTCTAGTTCAACCACAAGATAGCCCACTTTTAGGCTCACTCCTGATCCAACACCTGGCCCCAGTGCTCGGCCAACATGTGCACATGCGGTACGTGCTCGGGTCCGTCTCCCAGCGCTACCCATGCATGGACGAACTTCTGACCCAACACTCCAGGGGCAACACCTGGGCCTACCGGTACACAGGTCCGCCGCCAAGCCCAACATTAGTTCCAGCATATGCATGGACTAACCTGTCAAGTGGCAACGATGCTGCACCTTCCTCTATTCATGCTAGCTAGCAGACTTCACATTGCCAGGTTAAAAGTGAGATAGACTGCTGGGTTGGAGCATTCTCGGTGCAACGTTACAGTAGGGGCAGACAGAGATGCTGCAGTCAATAAATGTATCTTGTATTACCGTATTCGTTCTGTATATGTATTCAAAGGATGGAGCCCCACTTGGGTCGTCCTTGTTTTGGGTGCAAATGTTGCAATGTAGAATCTCCCTCTCTGCCGGGAGCCTCATCAAGAATCAACACGAGCTGATTTGCTTACTCTGTCTCAGCAGAAGCTTTTCCGCCCTTTTTGGCTGGCCCATTCAACAAGTGCTGCACATCGGAAAGCGTATCCAACTTTTGCTTCAATTCCTCATCAAATTTAGTCATTGTCAAAGTGACAAGAGCCCGGCAGGGTTCACCCAAGTGTGAGTTTGTATTGGGATCAAGTTCGGCAATCTTTTCACACTCAAAATGGCCAACATAGTACCGGTCTTGGCCCCCGTTTGCACTGGGCTGTTTGTATCGGTTCTGGTACCAAAAGACTGGAATGGCTTCAGAGATGGGGTCGACCAACGAATCAATCATTCCCTTGCCCCTGCTCCCTTGCTTGATATGCTAGAGAATTGTGAGCTGTCCAGTTTTTTCATCCAGGAATGGCAAGCTGGTCCGCTCGTTCTTGAACTGAAGGATCACCACATCATTCTCTCCATCTCGTGAGATTCCAAATTTGCTCAACGGAGCTTTCAAGCCAAGATCTCTCAAATGGTCATTGATGACCGCCGTGGTCACGCCTTTGGAATGGCGGAGGTTGTTGTTGTCAGCCAAAAAGTCATCAAATTTGATATCCGCCGTGCGACGGCGCTTCGCGAGAGGCTTGTCATTGTTGTTGTCACTGCCGTTGATTGTGTCGTCTTTTGGTGACGCGACGGCAGTCGATGATGCCTGTTTGTCGTCAAGGCGGTTCTCTTCCTCGGAACAATGACGCTCCTCGTCGGGCTCCATGTCCAAAACAATGACATCCTCCGGCTCTTGCTTGCATTGATGCTTCTGACGATTGCGACGACTGGTCTGTTCCTGTTGACGAGGAGGTGATGGCTGAGACGACGCCGGAAGAGGTGACGGCTGAGACGATACCGCAAGAGGTGATGGCTGAGACGACGCCGCAAGAGGAACGCCTCGCAGCTTCACATCTTCCAAAACATTCTTGGCGAAATCATCGAGAGCATCATTGGACTGTCCACGGGATGCACGGATCACCAAACGGCCGTGCTGGTGTTTGTGCTTTTGCATGAGCATCAAGAGCTGATCTAGCTCGTTGTTGTTGTTGCCGCTGTTGTTGAAAGCCATGGTCGATGCGTTCAGTCTTCGAGGGGAAAGGCCAAAATGAATGCTGTTGGTTGACGAAATGCGAAAGATCCAACGAAGGCCAAATCTCAGACGGAAGAGGTTACTTGTGCTGCACATTTTACCATCCTTTGCCAGTCTGCTAAGGTAATCCACGCGGCAACGCCCTCGTAGCTCTGGTACACTTTCTACTGTAGCAGGTTCTCAACGGTCGAAATCCCCGTGTTATTTAACTCGATAGGCCGATTCGGATTTCGAAATCTTACATACAGGATTGAAATCGCCGGTAACGGCCTGATGTCAGAATCCGATTGGATTTTCCTACTGATGTCTCTATAGTAATTTTTACATGCGTCACTGATTTTTGAAAATCATTTGAATCGTGAGGCCGTTACTCAGAAATCCTGTTACCGGGATGATCCACTGTACGAATACAGTACAATCCCATTTCACGGATTCTGGAGATTTGTATAAGGGATGTCTCATCGGACGTTCGTTGGATTTTCCGAAGATTCTCACCGGATTTCGAAACATGTTTGTTCGTTGAGTATGGAATAGATACGATTCAATGGATTTATTGTTGCTGTGGCGATTTTGATGCCACCCACCACACTATTCAACCACACAAAACAGGGTATCAATGATTGCACAGCAACAATCGTCACTTTGGAGAGCATGTACGATTCATGAGAACGTTTCCGTGAACATGTGATAAAAATTTGGGCAATGTGCATCAGTTTGTGGGATTAATCGAACTAAACCATATCTTTCAGAAGCAAATAGGTTTTCCCACATTCTGATACAATTCCTATGCGTATTTGTTGTACCAGATGATGGAAAAATGTAATTGTTTCTAATATGTAGGGTAATTATCAAACGGAACGTTAAGAGGGGTCAAACAGACGAATCCGGAACGATCAAAATGAGAACCACTCCAACCACTCGAAAGTTTACCCACCAATCGATTCTTCATTTCCTCATTATTTTCCACACCGACAAAGCCAAAAGGATACCTATGCCCTTTTCTTCACTCGAAATGATTTCAACGGCCCCACAAATAATACCCCACCATGGCGTTCCGACTCATCCAAATGCCGGTCCGTTCGGTCCATTCTGATTCTGGTTGGCAGGAAGGAAATTCCCTTGGGCATCTCGCAACCATATCTCCTGCTGGGATTGCATCTGTGGCGCCTGTTGGATTTGTGCAGTCGGCGGTTGCTGCATCTGTGGGGCTGGCTGCATCTGCATCTGAGGAGCTGATTGCTGAAACTGCGGATACACATACTGCTGTGGTTGTGGCACCATAAAATTCTGCATCATGGTTGCTTGTTGCTGCATCGCCACCATTTGACTCCAATTCATTGGCATCGGAATCGAGTACTGAGGCTGCGGCTGGATTTGCATGGGCATCGGTTGCTGTTGATACATTCGTTGATCCATGACTTGATTCGCCGCAACCAAGGGAGCTGCTGCTGGCGGTTGAGCGAATACTCGATTTGTCGCAACTGGAGGCATCGCAGCGGGAGCCACCGCAACTGGAGCCGTCGCCACGGATTGATGAGATCCTGCCACGGAAACAACGGCACCACCAGCCACCACAGGAGCGGACGCAACACTTGCCGTCGAAGCCGCCGCCTGAGCCTGGACCAACTCGAGCAATTGCTTCTTCGTCATCTTCTTCAACACCTTGTCGTCTGGAATGACGGATGGATCTTCGGTCAACAAGGACGCCTCTTCTTCATCGTCCGAATCTTGAGTCAAGATCTCCTCCGGCACTCTCTTCTTGGCGGACGCAGTCTTCTTGGGCTTGCTCGACTTCTTCCACGAAGTATCCTTTTCTTTTTGCGCTTGGCGCTTCGAGACTCGCTTTGCGCGCGGCTTACCGCCACCATCATCGGATTCTACCTCCATGGTTCGTCTAGGAGGACGTGGATTTCCATCTTCATCTTCGGATTCCACCGCCAAGTCCTTATCGGAACACATCAACGCCTTGAGAGCAGTTGATCGACCTTCATCTACGAGACGTGCATAAGGGATTTGACTCTGTTCGCATTTGTGGCGGGCGAATTTCAATCGAGCAGCCATGGGAACCCGAGCTTGATGCATCTTGGTGATTCCATATGCACGAAGCCCATGGTTTGTGAATTTCTCAAGATTATTGACTCCAATGACAGCACCGAGTTCCTTGGCCTTCTTGGAGACATTGTTGTGGCCTAGGTTGTACTGAGCAGTTTCCCCTGACGGTTGGAACCAAATGTCTCGATCCTGGTACTTGTTCCCATGCACTTGATGGTTGGTGAAATACTTCTTGTATTCCTTCTGTTGGAGGTTGTATTACAGACACCTCAATACAAATTAGTCGTTTATCCCAATCTAGTTATAGGGGATATCTATATCTATTCTCTAGTTACATACATGGGGAGTTTAACTGATCTATATGGTCACCCCCTTCACTATATCCTTTGAAGTTGAATCAATCCCAGAAAACATGGAGAAAGATCACTTCTTGGAAATAGCTTAACAGTAAAACAGTAGTTCACCATCTCGTCTTCGAGATATCGATATTGACTTTGTCAATGGTAATCCTATATGAGTTCATGCTAAGGTAAAGAGTGCAACAAACAGCACAGACAGATAGTGCTGGAGCCACACTATAAGGGCTACCAAAACAGCTCAACAGGCAACGCGCCGGAGGAATCTCACAGGAAAAAGGCAACACCACGAAATTGTGCCTCACACACGGAGCAACGGCCGATCAACAAGAGGACGACCGAATCAGCCCAGAGTAAGCATACCAGTGGAAAGAAGAGAACTAACTACCCCACTCTATTGCTTGATGAAGCGAATTCTACAAGACCGTGACGAGTGAAAGGAACGACACCTGAAGTAGAGTTGGATAACAAAATCCAACAGGAACACCACAGAGGTACTTCCGTGGGAGTTCCTAGCCTCACTATCAAGCTAACGAAACAGCTCTGAAAGAGGAGAGGTGCGACGGAACAGAAAATTCCAACGCACAAAAAGACAAATTGTCAGGCCGATTACTCGACAACGACAGGTCCTACGGAAGGACTGTCATACACGGAAGTGGGCTACTATACTGTCACTGACAGGCCCTGAAGAGTGCAAGTCCTCGAATGCAACAGGAAACGAGTTGCATCTATCGGCACGTTCAAAGAAAATTGAAGAAAAACCAACACTTCTTGAGCCGAAGCAAGCTCACAGGAGTGAGCGAACGGAGCACGAACACCCAGCTCACAGGAGCGAGCAAGAAGCAAACTGGAATCGTATGACAGGTATTACAGTACGAGACACATCAAGACTTCGAGCTGCGGAAACAGCCATCGTACTACTGCTACGTGCAGGTACGAAAAAACAACTACAAGAGAAGACCAAGCTTGCAAGCAAGCTACTAGGAGTCCAACAAGCAACGTCAACGCTACAGGAGAGACGAAGCAACCGGAGCCAAGTACAGAACAGCAGCGCTACTGTACGGAGCGCAGCGAGGCTATTACTACTACGGAGGCAGATCAGCCGTACGAAGCCAGAAGGAGTGACACGACGAGTGTCAACTGGAAGAGCACAACACCAGGAGTGTTGGCACGGAAGAGGAACTCGATAACAAGTTCCAACAGGAAGAGGAATTACCACAGAGGTACTTCCGTGGGAGTTCCTAGAGCCTCACTACCAAGGCGTCGAAGTGGTGCTGTTAGAGCCGAGGTGCAACAGAAGCGAACGACGACCGCTGCAGCTGCTACTGCTACGGCGACAACAAGAAGAGCAGCCAATAGTCAGCGAGCGATCGAACGACCGAAGCTACTACTGGTACTCGCAAGTCGCTACGGCGACCACAACAAGAATAACAACGACTGCTACTACTACTAGTAGACAGTTGTTACCGCTACCAAGAACAACAGCGGAAGCATCGACACCACCGCCATTGTGTCTGTTGCTTGAGTGTCGGCAGTACCGCTGTCGGCAGAAGCAGACATTGTCTTTTTGTGAGGAAATCGCTGACAGCAACCATGCAGTCCCACGGAACGGCAAAGAACAGCCTGCAGTTCAGCGACCAACAACAGAAAGCCAGTGAACGGGAAAAGGTATCTTTCCGTGAATACGTCCGCAACAAGAGGATTTCCCGTGGAGATCCAAGCCACGTCGCCGTGCCCGTGAGCTAGTAGTGATGCTGCACGCCCTGCAGATAACTAGCCAGCCAACGGCACTAGAGCTACAGAAGCAGTGCAGTGCACAGCACAGCAAGCTACAGGAAGCACAGGAGTGCCTCCGCCAGCATTGAATATTTTATTTTGAGTGTGTATTGAGTTTACACTCAGCACCTCCTCCCCTTTCATGGAGTGTGTACTGTGGCATCCCAGCCACAGCACCTCCTACTACCTTTTATGGAATGTGTATTGTGCAACTAATCCACAGCACTTCCTCCACTGATTACAGGCAAACCTGAGGCAACACCAGCCTCTAGGTAGGCAACAACAGATACCATTACAAGACCATGCCCTTGCTATTTGATCACAGCAAGTGCACAGGAGTGTGAGGGTACCCAAATCCAAAACCTACAATCCTACAAACAAAATAATCATAACATCCGCCTTTATAGGCAATGCCGTAACCATCAATGGCCACAACTACACGGCCAACAACCATCAATGGCTACATCAACAGCCAGCATCGATGGCAACAACATCCAACAACGGCATCTACCACTACCAAACCGATTACAATGAATCGACGAATTGCATCTACAATAACGGCAACTGCAACAACAGCAGAACGACAGTGAACGTTGAACCGAGTAGCTAACTACAAGCAACTCAAGAGTTCACAAGACAAGGAACCAAGCCACAGGATGGCTGGAGCATTCAGAGTTTGACCCACAAGCGGAACCTGATCAATAGAAACAACAGAGGGTGCACACCTCAGCTCCACTGCAACTACTGTACAGAGATTGCAACCAACCTAGTCTCACACCAACAACAGAAGTACACCAGTACAACAAACCAAGCCAACCATAGATACAACTACGGACAACTACAAGTCCTGCCACAGCCAACTCACAGGAGTGTAAGAGCAGTGACAGAACCTTGTCCTGCCACAGCCATCTCACAGGAGTGTAAGAGCAGTGGCATCACCACCACAAGGATCTACCGACTCATCAACCATCGAACCATCATCGACCGTGACACGTCAGGTCCAGTGGAGCCCATCCAGTTGGAGCATCCACATACTACCGAATACTTCCTTACAAGTTTCCAAACTTCCAAGGGCTTACAGCCCAAATCAAGTATCGTGGCAAGGAACTTCCTCCTAGTTCCAGCTACTACAACAGTTCTCACAAGTGTGCTATAGCCTGACTTCCCAGTCTCAGCTACGGCAACACCAAATGACGGTACCAAGTACAAGTGACAGATCCACCAACCACACACAGCAGTCACGAGTCTCACATGAGTATAAACACATGACAAGAGGAAACAATAACTCAACCATTTCCTCATTCCATCTTCAGAACATCGAGACCATCCAAGAACTAGGTTCAGTCGAAAACAAGTCCGTGACTTCAAGCAATCATTTCCTTCCATGCACCTTCCAATAGGGCATCATTCCCACAAGTCTACGACTTCCAGAAGCTTCAACGCTTCCATCTACGAAGGGCTTCCAGCCCCATCAAGTGTCAATGCAGCCGAACTTCCAGTCCGAGCCGCAGGTACACCAAGTGACGGTATCATCCGACACCAGTCTTCCAGGAGTGGCACCACTCTCAGAAGGAGTGCCAGCCACAAAGACTTTTCTGATGAGACATTTTCCGTATTGTCTCGTCTCACCGCTCCTTCTCGTTACCAAGCGGATGCCGAGCAACAACTTCCACAGGTTTGTTTTGACTCATTGCAACCAGTCGCACGACGACGCAAGACTGGATTCGAAGCCTTACAGGTAGGAGCCTGCTTACCCAAGCACTGATAGACACTTTGAGTGCTATCGATTCTCAGGAATCCTAGAGGCACCGCCTCAAGTCCACAGCAATCCAAGTTGCATCCAATGTCCAACCCAACCAGGCCAGCTTTGGCTACAACAAGTACAAGTCCTGCACAGCTAGCTCACAGGAGTGTGCCAACAGTGACAGCAGGAGTGGTATTGATAAAGTTGTACCCACCAAAACCACAGTCTCAAACCTTTTTCAACTCTTCCTTTGAATTCTCCGATCGATCTATCCAGATTGACACACCAGATCGACTGACAAGAAACGATCATGCCAGATCGAATGACACGAAGCGATCGAGTCACAAGCAGCGACCACGAGATCGATTCATTTGACTCTCGGATCGACTCAGAAGATCAATCATGAGATTGCAAGTCGACCAAGCAAAGCTATCAAGGCAGAGCAAGCTTACTCAAGCAAGGGTAGACACACACAGTGCTACCGGGATATCTTCTGCAGAGGATTCCACAGTTCCACAGGAACAGTTCCACTTGGAACCAGCTCAAAGCAAGCAACAGTTCAACGGAACGCCACAAGTTGCAGCACCCATCTACAAGAGGTGCAAACCAAGGTCCACATCAAGCAGCACACATTCATGTACAACAAGTCACAGCCATTCGATTCAAAGAAGAGGAGGCCGTGATGAAGGAAAGCTTCCCCAGCTGGGAAGAGAGGATTCCATTCCTCTGAAAAGACAACAGCAGGACATCAAACACTTCTTGGACACCAACAAGAGAGACAGCTCACGTTCCATTCCAATGGACAACAACCTGACTCCAGATAGCTACCAACTATTGCACAGACTCATGCTCATCTGATTTCCAAATCCAGTACAAGCCTGAATGGATTGATGTTCCACACATCATTGGCGATTGAGACCATGGCATACAATGTCCAGTTCAGTCTACACGCCAGTCAAGAGCACAGTTGAGTCTACGAGAATGCAGCCGGAACTTCTAGTTTCCAGCTACAGCATTACCAAGTGACCGGAACTTCCAGTCCACGGTTCAACAAGTGATCGGAACTTCCAGTTTCGAATACAGCAACATCAATGACGGCACCAACCGCCAAAGCAAGTCATAAAGGAGTGGCAACACTCAAAGGAGTGATGGCCACAGTGGCTTTCATGACGACACTGTACACATGTCCACATTGACTGTGACAGATTGTCAGCACTGCTATGGTGACAAGCTTCTCGCCACCAAGCGGATGCCGAGCAACCTAGCAATGGTCCTCGACCAACAACTGTTCTTATGGAGCAACCATCATATACATTAATTATTCGTTCCACGGTATCCTTTATGGAACCGTGCAGGAGTGTGTTGGAGTTGTATTACAGACACCTCAATACAAATTAGTCGTTTACCCAATCTAGTTATAGGGATATCTATATCTATTCTCTAGTTACATACATGGGGAGTTTAACTGATCTATATGGTCACCCCCTTCACTATATCCTTTGAATTGAATCAATCCCAGAAAACATGGAGAAAGATCACTTCTTGAAATAGCTTAACAGTAAAACAGTATTTACCTTTACTAAGCTAAGTGTTACTAGCAACCAACACCTTCTTCTGCTTGCTAGAGGCAATCTTGGCAAAGAATTTCTCCGCTTCTGGATGACACTTGGACAGGTAGAAGTCGAAACACTTGAACGCACAGAGTGGATCTCGCGGATTCTCGACGATTTCCAACCAGCGATCTTTGTCCGCAAGAGCTCCAGATTTGTAGAAGCTCAGTCGGTTGGTCTTGTCTTCGGGCAGTCGGATTGCCATATGCAGACATCCAGCCAGGTCGCCCATCTCGCGAGTGTACATTCCGGAATAAGTATCACGCATCATGAGCTCGGACATTTCCTTACCACCACGAAGAAGAAAAGATCGACCAAGATGGAACACACAGACGAATTGGAGATAAAGCGGATTTTTCCACGGTTGGAGTCGTCCGTCTTTGACAGCTTCGCAGATTTTCTTGTCCGCTTCCCAATCAATCTCCGATTTATGACTGCGAATTCCAAACGTTGGATCTCCCCTGCGGATTTCCGCCCAATATTGAATCATGACACCGTGGAAGTCTCCTTTGGCGTTGAAATCCTCTTTGAAGGAGTACAGAAACTTGTCGTGAGTCTTTTTCTTCCACTCGCCAAACACGTTGTTGATGTATTGGGTGAAGACGGTCGGAGAGAGCGGTTTTCCTTTGTTGCTTCCAGACAAACACAACCACTTCATTCCGCACAAGATGGAACAATAATTCAGGATTTTGTGCTTGTTTCCATCTTTTTCTCCACACACGACATTGAAAAAGGCGAAGTCAGTGGACAGCCCTTGGTCGTAAGTGACGGGAATAATCTCAAGAAGGCTGGCCAAAACGGAACCTCCATGATCTCGGATTGTACCGAAGAATCGCTTTTGAAGACTCTCACATTTCTTCTCGTGCTTTCTTCCTCGTCTTCCCACGTCCTTGCAGTCATCAAGAAGCTTTTGCTCTTTCTCTGTCAAGTCCAAGGATGTAAAATCCCGACCAGATCCAAGGGCAGAGGCAATTTCAGCAGCACTTTTCATTGAAATGGCTGCATTCTTTGGCGGATTTTCCTTTGTTGGAGTTTCTTCTTCCTCTGTTGTTGAGGCTGTGGCTGGGTTTTGAGTTGGATTTTGAGGTGACAAGGAGACTCTGGCTGGAGCTGGTGGAGGACTACCAAAGCTGAGGTTGGAGTCAGAGCCAAGTGCCAACATACTTGCCACAACAAAGCTGGTTCCTTGAGTCATGACAGGACGACTGGCCTCTTCTTCATATTGGTCTTCTTCTTCTCCTTCATCATCATCATCATCCTCTTCCTCTTCCTCGCTACTGCTACTGGTTTCCACCGGAGGAAGGTTGAACTCATCTTCGCGATCATCAAGAAGTGGTGATTGGGTGTTCTCCTCTTCTGCCCACGGTTCTTCGGGGGGTGAAGACATGATGGGCAGTACTCTCTAACAGTAGGGCTTTATTGTTATTACTCGGGTCTGTTGTCAAGTAGATTACTCACAAAGACCTCCCGCCTCATTGACGGCCTTGATCTTGATCTGTCGCCTAGGCCCTTGGGCAAAAATCCTCCAGCCTCGACTGGATCTTCGATCTTGGCCTAAAATCCGCTGGCGCGCGCTCTCGCGACGAATCGTGTCGGCTGCGCCTCCAAGAATTCTTGCGATCGCGCGCGCCATTGGATTTTCATTTCGCCGGGAGATTTTTCTACATCTTTTTGATTTGTTGGAGCACACTTTAACAAGCAGCCGTCAAAGCTGATTGTGATTCGCCGGGGAGAAGCCAACCACTCCACGCTGTCATTGCCATTGCCAAGCAACACGCCCCCCTTCCACGGAGCTTCGTCTCTCCAGACCTCCCAGGTGGATTGGACAGCCATATGGGAAATAAATCAAAGAAGAAATGCAGTGCTGGTGCGGCTGAAAAGAAGCAGTCTCCTTTCATTTGACTGCAGGGAACGCCTTGCCGATGACGAGGTGGATTCCTAAGGAAAATCCTAAGCTAATTTGCAATAGGAAACTCATGAGTGTTGGCTTCCTGGGTGAGGTTCCAATTGTTCTAAAGTATGGGCTCAGAAACTAGCTAGATGGCGTTGTTTTATCCATGGGTGAAGATGTGGAAGGAGGAAGATAGTGACGAAGAAGAGGCTGTTCCAAGGAAGGCAACCACTGTTTCTCAGCTCCATGAGATGTTTCCTGATGAATTCTCTTTTGAAATCGAAAATTTGCTTGTTTTCCACGCCTCGAATTATTGCTTGTCGTCTTTCCTGTAAGTTCTCTTGGGGTCGTTCCTAGCCTACTGTATTCTATCTCGTGGTAGATGAGAGCTGTTACACAGCTGCAACGAGCTGTTGCCTGTGACGATATCGCTAGCTAGCTACAAGGAGGAGAACTAATAAGAGTGCTTATTGGTAGGAGCGTCCCGATTCATCCCCATAATGCCGATAGTCACGCGCTAGTGGGTATGAGCATAGGATAGCGAGGAAAGGTTACGCAACAGATTTCAAGCTCCCGCGATTTGCTAATTCTTCTGCGTCTCCCCGACTTGTTTCTGTGTGCTCTTCCGCGATGGGTTCAATCTCCTCCTTTTCCTCTTCTCTTTCATCGTAAAATCGCGCCTTTCGACGACGGCCGCTTGATGTTGCCATTTCAACATCTTGACGCCGCCGCGTGTCAGCAGCATTGTCCTCCTCGTCACTACTGTCCAATAGGCTACCACCCAAGGCCGTGGCCCAATCATCGGCATCTGTGGTCTTTAAGGCCTCCTTGAAATCCGAAGCAAAATTGCGAATTGACTTGACCCGGTTGAAGGTCCCTCGAACTGTTCCTTTCACTAGTTTGGAGGCACCCCTTTTGGTGGACATCCAAGTGCCCTTGGACTTCATCATCAATTCCTGTCTCGAAAAGGAGTCAGAGATTCTCTGGATGACAAAGTGTGCACTGCCAGTGAGAGAATGAGAACTATCATCCATGGATGCTCCCCGGTTCAATGGATCGGCTGGTTCGGAGGAACGTTGCGGTGAATGTCGTCGTGGTGGTTTTGATTTGACTGGCACAGAAGCAATAGATAAGCGACTTCGCTGACTCGTCAGATCAGAGGATGAAACACGATCGCGAGATGCACGGCTCGTGACACTACTCCGCATCGACTCGATGTCGTCAGGATTCGTCTTGGATTGTCGCACGACTCGCTTTCGCGAAGACTTGACCACGGGGTTCATGGAGTGACTATGCTTCAAGCTTTTGCCCGTTGGCCGACGGATCCTAGGTATTGTTGTAGAGGATCTCGTTGGATTCGATACTCCGCTCGCCTCATCGTTGTAGAATTCATCGTCGCTGTCGCTACTTTCCTCTGCAATTGAAAGCCTTTGCAAATTACCGGCAAAGCTGACTCGACGACGCGGACTGCCTGCAGACTCGTCTGAAATTTGGGGGGCATCCTTGCCACCCGACTGTGCTGCTTTGGATGCGTTTACTGAGTGCGACGAGGTAACTGGTGTCTTGAAACCCGACTGCGATGATCTGGCTGTGTTTGCTGAGTGGGACGAGTTTACCGGGGACTTGAACGACGTGGTCACAGATGATTGCAATGATGAGAATGACATGTCACCAGCTGTTTTGAAAGAGGCATTTGCTGATTGGAATGACATGTCTGCGGCAGTCTTGAATGAGTTGTTCCCTTCAAACGGCTGTGGTTCACTGCCCGGTTGTTCGCTGCCCAGTGGTGCTGGGAAGGAGAGGCTGGATGTGTCCAAAGGTCCCTTCTCCATCGCGTAGTTTTGAACCTGTTGAGATGAAGAAGCGGACGAATCGATGGAACTACTCTTACGGAAGCGCCGAAGAATCGAAGATGAAAGCCAACCTCGGCCAGTCTGCCCTTGAGCCTGCGAAGCTTGTTGGCTCTCTGCTTGTTCGACTCCTTCCTCATGCTGTTGTTGTGTTTGTTGCGCTTGCTGCTCTTGTCGACTTTCGAGACGTTGTGCCTCCTCTTGTAGACGAAGTTGCTGCGGAGACAGTAGGACGTGTCCATCAGAAGCGAAACTCACACTAGCATGAAGTTGCTTCATCATTTCGATTTCGTCCTTGACATCATCCTCTGGCACACGTAATTCTTTGGAACGCGACCGCATCGACAGTAAGTTCGAATTTGAGCTGTTGGACCGCGCAAGTTTGGGGCGTTTTTGGTTTGGAGTCGCCTTTCGGGGAGTGTGCAAAGATTGGAACAAGGAATCCACCGCATCGTCACCAACGTGCAGAGACTCGTCCAGCTCGTCACCGTCAACATTCTCACCGTTCTCGTCACCATTTTCAACACTGGTTTTTTTCATTCTTTCTATATCGGCTTCGGTCCAAACTGCCACTACATCTGAGTCAGTGTGGGTTGTTGATTCGTCAAGTTCCTGCATTATTGATGGAAGAGTCGCGGGCTGATGACCACTGTTATCAAACGCACCGACGGGTTTGTGATTGCTGTCAGCCATGGAACTAGTCGTAAGGAGGGCACTGCTGCTTCCACCCCCGATGGTCCCCAGTGTCGATCCGGGTAGGCTGGTTTTCTTTGCCTCAAGTTGCTGTTTCTTTCGTTGTTTTTCTATTGCTTCCCGACGTCGTTTCTCTCTGCGAATCTGCAGGTATTTGGGTCGGATATACACTAAAGAAAAACAAATAAGTCGCGGCGTGAGATTTTCGCTAGGCCCTTGCTGCATGCCCACTATGTGCTGAACCGCGTCTTACCAATGAAATTCATCAATCCTTGTAAAGGCACAAAAATTGCACTCAGAAAGACCCAATGGAAATAGGGGATTCCTGGTTCGGTTGTCATTTCCTGTATTCTCATGATGGATTGAAAGAACCAAGCCGAATAGAAACTGCACAGGTACAGCAGTGCTTGGGTGGTGACCATTTGTGTCTTGGCATTGACTTGCTTTCGTTTCTGCGAATCTCGACTACGCCGTCGTAGACTGTCGACTGCCTTGTCGACGCTGCTTTGAAGCGCTACGAACCTCGATTGGTAACCTTTTCCCGAATACAGGTGTCCTCCTAACACTGGTGGCAATTTCTTGCTGGTGGTCCCGCCGTTAGTGGAATACGATAAAAGGGAGGAGGAATTGGAGAGTGACCGAGCATAAGGAGGATTCCCTCGAACGCCCGTTTGGGAGGGCTCTGAGGTGTTATGCAGCATCGACTGACGACTGCTAGACAAGGCATCCAAGCTTCGTTGTCGTCGCATGCTATGATGTCGACCGCTCGATTGCATATTGCTGCCGCTGGAAACATCATTGAGGCTGCGTTGTTTTCGCATGTGTCGTTTCTGGGACGGTGTAAAGGTTGGCTGAGCAGAAGGTCTTCGGCGTTTCTTCTTGCGCTGTGTGGCGGCAGTGGCGGCCGCGGCTATTTCATTGAATTTGTTGGTAATCGCGCCGACCCCACTGACGACGACCTTCCTAGATGATTTTCCCGACTTGAGTAGCTTTTGTCGCCACTTTTCGGCAATTTCATCTTGTCGACGATAGGCCGCATATACCTGATAGAGTGCTCCACTTGCCACAAGGATGCACACCCAGAGGGGGAAATAAAAGAAGAACCATACATAGAAATTGGCATTGTCCCCTCGTTCACACGGCATGTAATCCGGATCCTCTTTGGTTCCATATCCGTGATCAATAATCCAACTTTCGGTACATCCCACTGGCGCCGAATTCATCCAACATTGCCAACCTGCCGGATTGTATAACCCCAAAATTTGGGATGCCACAGCGGTCCCAATCCCCACCCCGATGCACACAAAGTGTACATAATATTCCAGCCTTGCGTCTTGTATTCTCTTTTCGGTCCATCCATATCGAATGACTAGCATAAAGTACAATGACAAACATGCGTTGTAGAGGACCGTGGCAATACTCAGTTGCGAGAAGAATCCCTGTACATCACATGTCCGTTGGTTTCCCACGGCGCCGTACACTCCAGGTGTGTCGGCGGGTATTGGCCACGTGGTAAAGAACCAGGCAAGGAGAGCCAACAGGTCCAGTACATTCATCCCAAAGACGACCCTGTGATAGGTATTCCGCCGTTGCAGCCGACTAATGTCAAAGATAATGTAGCAACTCCCAATAATGCTCATGAAGCAGGTCAACTTGGGCACTCCGGCCAACGCCCGTAGTTGATTGGGGCTTGCATTGGGCCAAATCGTGGGTGCCATGATATGGGTATACCGGTACCGTACTCGACAGCAGCTAGCTTGCTAGAGTTTGTTGTCGTTCGTTTGTGAGTGACCGCACTTTGGACTCGGTAGGTTTGCTTGCTGGGACTGACCACGTGTTGAATCGAATCTATCTCCTGATACCGTACTGGTGCTTTGTCAGGTGTTGGTTGTTGTTGGAGGATACCCTTCTGATACCCCTGGGATACCCTTGAGGTTGACTTAACAGACACTATACCGAAGATACCCCAGAGGTGCAGTCAGAACTGCAGGTATGCCAGGAAAACCAGATAACACTGGAGAAGCCGAACACGTCGATGACTGGGCAAGCTCGGGGTAGCTCTCGAGACAAAAGAGATAAATGTTGTCACCAAGGCGGATTCAAAGGGATAATCTATGTTTGTGACTCTCTGACCAGCCCCTCCGTCCACTGCTACAAGGTTGGATGGCTTTCTCTTTATGCGCTCTTGCTGTTGTGGGTTAGCTTACCCATCGGACAATCAAGGAATGTCAACTGTAGGATCGATGACGTTGCTTGTCTAGCTAGTCGGAGGCAGTTTTGCTAAGACCCGCCAATTAGCTATCTCTTTCTCTTGAATCAATCGTCGATACCTCACGTGCGCAACCAATCTCGAGGCAACAAATGGCTTTCAAGGCCGCTTACAATCAATCGCTCCTCTTGCTATGATGGCAAGCAGTCTTCCTCAGTCGTTGCGTCGTCGTCGCCAGCAGCCAGCTTCCGTCGAGAACCTCCCTGCCTGTCTAAACCCTTTATTCGCAAGAAAGCTCGGAGTTCGCTTTGTATGTGGTACCGGCAAAAGTAACGGTGGAAAACGCTCACCACAAGCCAAACGACGCAAGGATATTTAAAAGTTCGTGGCTGCGTTTACCTATTCTTTAAGTCTCTTTGGCCAAAAGGATTTAATTCATAAGCACCTCATGCATCAATCTATTCCAGTGGCAAATTGATTTAATACTGTGGTAATCTGAGAGAATAGTCTACTTATGATTCGCGATTGGTGCATCTTTCGCGGTCCCGCCTAGTTTTTCGGTGGTACCACTGACCTGGCTTTCTCATTTTCTTATTATTTGTTGATAATTTTGAGGTTTTGAATTTGTGAAATAGAAAATTAAATCTTTGATCCTAATTAGGGTTAGGGTTATGCGCAGTCCTGGGAGCAAAAAGTATCTTTCGCAACAGGACCGCTTTCACCAATCAAATCAAAGCAAACAACGTATCTTCAGTTTTGTTCGCCTCACATCCACAGAAAATCCGCAAAAACAGCGCAGCAACCTTCTGGCTCGAACGGTACATCTCGTCATTGGTCATGTTCCATTGAAACTTCGATTTGCCTTCGTGTATCCTACCTTTCTTCCCTTGTGCAGCAGGGCAGCTATCTCATTTTTCTTTTGTGCCGATAAGCAACAAAGACATCGGAGCACCTCTGCTACGCTGTTTCGGTCTTTTGAGAGACGCCGACACAAAAAAGAAATCCCTATCAAACAACCAAACTTCGAGTAAGTTGTGCCGTACTTGTCACGTCGTCCACAGACCCTTCTGCTTTTTTGGATGATAGCCAGATCCCTCACCGCTTGTTGATTTCGCAATCCGATTAACTCGACAGAGCACCTTCGAGCAGGTATCCACAATGGCGCTACTCCGTCACCATCATTCATCCATGGCATTGCTGTTAGCCTCAGCAGCATTCCTGTCATCCATGATCTGTCCAACCCTGGGAGCAACGGATTTCATTGACTGCAACACTCCCTGCAATGGTGGAGATGTCAACTACGAACTGACGGCCAGCATTCGCATCATGGATTTGATGAACTACACCTACAAGGGACGGACATACAGTCGAGAGGGTGATGATACATTCATGGGTCCTACCATGCACGTGGCTCCTGGTCAATCCTTGTGGATCAAATTTCGCAATGAAATGAAACCCGACCTGCAACCCAAACAGGTGGAGATTGAAGATTACTGGGAAATGCTAAAGAAACCAGGCGAGAAAATCAAATACCAATACTACAAAGAACCCGTGGCAAAACCAGAACTCATGAAGGTGGATCATCCCAACATCCCACATAACTTTGATTCTACCAACTTGCATCTTCATGGTTTGGATGTTGAAGTTCACATGTTTGATCCCGTCAACACCCACAATCCCGATGCCCCACACATCTCCATCGATCCAGGACAATGCTACTGCTATAGATTCAACGTCCCACATCACCATCCAGGGGGCTTGTACTGGTACCATCCTCATTTGCATGGTTCTGCAGCAGTCCAAATGTGGGGTGGTATGCTAGGATTACTTTATGTTGATGGTCCCCTGGAGGACGAAATGGAAGCCTACGGCATTTCAAATGTCCACGAGTTTGTTATTTGGGATCCTGCCTTGCGTGCTGTGAACAATGAACCAACGCACAACCTGGAAGTGGACCGCTTCTTGATGGGACAGACCACACTCAGTAAAATTCACCCCTTCTTGGTCAATGGGCAATACAACCCAACCTTGACCACTGCTGTTGGACAAGTCTTGTGGCTAAGAGCCTTGTGTGCCACTGTGGAAAATGAAAACACTTTTATGGTCTATCGCCAGGGGGAAGAAGATCAACCTTGGGATGATGCTGCCATTCCATTTTGGGTTGTAGCCAGTGATGGGGTAACATACCAGAAACCACAACGCAAGCGTATCATTGTCATGGCTGGGGCACAACGAGAAGAGATTCTACTACAGTTTGATGAACCAGGGACCTACGTGATCAGCCAACAAGGCATTCAAGGACTGCAATTCTTTGACATGTACGGCCATCCACATGATCAAACATTGGCTACCATTGTCGTTCATGAAGAAGAGGATGACAAATCAAAGCTTCACCCTACCAAACCCATTGCTGACATGCAATTCACTCCGGGATACCACCCAGATGAAGACATCCAAGCCAAGGAAATCACCAGGACTGAAACCATTGTCTACTCGATGGGTGCAAACCGGGATCAGGCTCCCTTCCCACAGTACTATGTCAATGGCAAACCCTTTGCTCCTAACCGGCTTGACTTCTTTGCTCATCCTGGTGAAGCTGTTGAATACATTCTCATCAATGGGAATCACAATGTGCATCCCTTTCATATTCATGTCAATCGATTTCAAGTCCAAGAGATGGGATCAGAATTGTCTACTGAAACCTATCCAGTCTTGAAGCATGTCATGGAATTTGAACCTAGTGTTTGGAGGGATACAGTTGTTATCCCTCCCAATGGCCGAGCTAGGATCTGGGTTCAATACAAGAATTATACTGGCAAGACAGTCTTTCAGTAAGTACTGAACTAATGTACTGTGGTTGGTTAGGAAGCACCCTTGTAGATCTTGTCTCACAGCTTTGTTCGCCACCCCACAGTTGTCACTTTCTGGCCCACGAAGATACTGGCATGATGTCTACTCTCTTTATTGGACCTCCAGATTATGTTTTTCGACTAGAGGAGCATTTGCCCCTTCTTATGGGTGTGGCTGTGGGAATGATGTTGACTTTGGTTGCCCTCGTGGTTTTGGTGAGCTGCAGACGCGGAGAACCAAAGGCAGTGTACGAGCCTGTTGCAACCATGAATGAACTCAAGGCCAAGGCACAGGATTAACAACTGTCCCAACAATGATTAGACCAGCCATTCAATGAGTGACCAGATCACCTGAAACTAGTGTGAGTCACCATATTGACCAGCCAACAAAGTACAGCTGCAGGTCACTGGATCTGCTATAGATATAGATACTTTGTTTTATTGTCAAAACGAATCATGTCACCTAACGGATGGCTTGCCAAAGCGACCTCAACCGTATCATATCTTTCCCACTAGTCTATACTGAGGCGTAAGCTGAGAGCTTGGAGAAGATCTTGTTTGGTAGATCATTTTCGAGTCTAGAAGAATGCTTCTCGTGCCTGTGGCGACAGTCGATGTTTTGTCTTAAACGGGATAGGCTCCGCACAAAGTAAGGCCGCATACAAATTTCCCTACTTCACAAGAACATGCAGCGTAGCGGGGAACCACTTGTGTGAGGCGTCCGTCGTTGTCATTGTCTGGTACCTTGCAAGTTCGTTCAAATTTTCGGCAAGAACCGGACTGGCAGGAAGCTCCAGGAAATTGTTGGAGATTGCAATGGCGAGCTGGATCAATATCTTCTGTAATGGATAACTCAAAGTTGCCGTCTTGCGAGGTGTCAATCCCACTCATCAAAATGTAGTACTCCATTCCAGCGGTTGTCTGGATTGGCTGGAGGGAAGCGTTGCAGGTGTACCCTTGTCCCCCCACTTCCTCTCCATATTCATCGCAGGACTCGGCTGTAAAGACCTTGATCAGATTGTCCCAGTTCTCAGGGCAGCTGGTGTAGATATGAATGAGCCCTCCAGTACCGATAAACTTGAACCACACCCCCGGCCCATCGTTAAAGCCGAAGCCAAGCCGAAACAGATCCTCGTCGGGGGTTGCACCAACGGTGGTCGCCACGATGCTGTCCCCTACTGAGATGTCCAATGCTTCGTGGCACGTATCATGAGATTGAAAGAAATCTTCTCGAATGGTCCACTCTCTGGGAGATAAACGGGGAGGAAGCAACCTGAGAGCTGGCTGTTCATTTTCGGTTTCCACCGTGAGGAAGAGGAAGGGCTTGCTGTGGCTCTGGATACTGTACCGGTATGCATCTTGGTTATTAATAGTTCGCTGGATTCGAAAGATATCCTGAGCGAATACCCCGGAGGAAGGGATTCGGCGTACTGCCAGCCTGTCGCGGTCGTCGAGCGTCATGACTCGATGCGTTCTGTAGTTCTGGAGAACGAAGCAAGTGTCACATACTGAAGGGAAATGAAGAAAGGTCCATCCAAGGCGACCGTCATTCTTTGTTTCGGTAAAGGTGAGAGTCCCCATTGGACCCAAATTGGTGTATCCGAGCTCTTCTTGCAAAAAGCCATGGCCAGCAACAGACAACGTCTGAACAGAGCCGTGGTTGATTTGATCATAATATGAAGTAAGTTGTCTGTTGGATCTGAGCTGTTTTGTTCCCTTTGCAGTTGCCACCACAAACGAAGAGGCAACGGCAAGCAATCCGAAAAAGGGTGTTTCAACTTTCATCTTGGACTATGGCTTTCGACCTTTTACTGTCTTGATTTTATGTTACAAGCAATTCACCCATAGCAGCTATCGAGCTGCGATACCGCTGTGATTGCTCGCTGGGCAAGATCCAGGATCCATGCTGCGCAAGAGCTCCGAGTCAAGAAGTATATAAATAAATAAATGTTTCGATTCCCGAGCGCCGTCGGGTCTCTTTACCCAGGGAAGATCTGCTGGTAGAAACACGGTGCCCGTAATGATTGCGCCACAATTGTAGCTACTGGTGTGACAGTATGGCGTAGGTAACATTATCCATGCTTGCTGGCTAGGATTTGCGCAGGCAAGTTTAGTGCTGGACTGATGTTGATCACAACCAGGCTTCTCAGGCTTCGACGCACAGTGACAACGAGTCGAGTCTTCCAAAAGTCCTGATGCAGTCTCGTTGAGAACTCACCTTGTATTCGATTAATCATTCCCTGGAAGCTACCAGTACACCCTTCAAACTGTTTGAAGAAGGAGGAACGTGCCACGGTCACAACGCCTCTTTCACGCTCTTGGATACAGGACGCAGGAAGCTGTCTCACTATGCAGCTGTTCCTCGCTTGAGACCCGGCTTTACAAGCAGATCCAGCTTGTTGAAGTTTACCATGCCTTTGGCAAACGGCACATGGCAACCAAGTCTCGTCACACCAGATTTGCTCCGTGAATGTGGCGTCGAACAAAGGCTACTTGCAAAGCGCTCTACGGCTGTCCAAGTTTGATATTGTCAGTACAAAAGAGTAGTTATATGTTTGTGAAAGATCGGCCCACAAACAAACAAGTTACTCTGCTTTGCTTTTTAGTCATCCTCGTCTTCCTCCTCATGAAATGTCTCCTCGTACACTGATTCCTCATCATCCACTGACTCTTCCTCGTATTCTGAGTCTTCGTCTTCGGTTTCAGTACCACTTGCCACACCGGCATGAAATGACTTTGATACACTTAATTCCTCGTCAGCGCCCTCTTCGCCCATTTCTCCTAAAGCGATCGAACCAAGTTCCAAAACGAGGACATCGTCGTCGCATTCATTTTGAAACTTGACCACCAGTTTGTTGACCAGCTTTTCATACACTTTCTTCACTTTGTTTTGGACGTCGCCCACCAGAGTACGCATCGCCAGAGCTTCTTCGTGGTCCTCGATGGCTTCTTTGTACTGGGTGGCCATGGATTCCAATTTCTCTCCTTTGCCTGTTTCCTTGTCCTCAAAACTGGTCAACTGCGACTGGAACTTTGACGTAGTCTTCTTCGCTTCCTCCAAACGCTGATTGTGAAGATACAGCTTTCGCATTTCTTCGGCCATTTCTTTGTTATTGTCGCGGGTTTTCTGGTTGTCCTTTCGTAGACTCTGAATGATTTCTTTGCATTCTCTCGATTGGCGCTCAATATCTTCCTCTTCTTCCGCTGTATAGACTACCAACCCTTGGCTGGCATGCTTACGATAAGCCTCCTTTTCTTCTCTAAGTTTGTCTTCGACCTCTTTGACTTGCAGGAGTTCGCGTTCTTCGGCTTCGATCTGTTTGTTTTGAAGCGCAGCAATGTAGTCTCGCATTTTTTTGTAATCCTGGACCGCCGACACCATATCTTCATCCTCGGCGAGCAGAGCCTCATCTGATTCAATCTCGAGAAAGAATTGAGGTGTGGTGTCGGTGATAATGGATCGACGTCTTAACTGCGCGGCGGCGTTTTTGGCATCCTCCTCTGCCCTCGCAGCAGACGCACGTCTGTGCGCTTCTTCCTCTTTCTTTTTCTTTGCTTCCATCATGGACTGTTTCTTGGCGACCTCTCTCTTGGCTTCGGCCAAGAAACGTGCCTTTTCTTCCTCTTCCCAGTCCTCATCGTCGTCATCATCGTCTGATTCGGTTTCAGATTCTTCCACCGCAAGTCCACGTGCCTTGGCAGCTTTGGCTCTGGCAGCGTCTGCCGCTTTGATGGCCTTTTCTTGTTCCTCGTGTGCACGTTTTCGATCGGCCTCTCTCTTTTTGGCCTCTTCCAATGCCAGAGCCCCTTCCTCCTTTTCGCGTTCCTTCTCCAAACGCTCTTGTTCCGCTTTTTCTTCTTGTCGTCTTTTATCAGCTGCTTTACGCGCTTCTTCTTCTTCCTTGTGTCGCTTCTCGGCGGCAATGCGAGCCGCTTCTTCTTGTTTTTGACGTTCCTTGCGTGCTTTTTCCGCCCTTTCGGCTTCGAGCTTGCGCTTCGCAGCAGCTTCTCTTTCGGCCCTTTCGGCAGCTGCTCGTTTCCTGGCTGCCTCTGCTGACTGCTGCAATTGCCGCTCTTTGGCATCTTTTTTTGCCGCCGCTTCTTCTTTTCGCCGCGCTTCAGCTGCTGCTTTGGCCTCTTCTTCTTCTTTCTTTCGCTTCTCCTCTGCGATTCGCTCCCTTTCTTCCTCTTCTTTGCGCCGTTGGGCTTCGAACCGCGCTTTTGCTTCCTCTTCTGCTCTTCGCTTGGCTTCTGCCCGCTCCTTTTCTAATTCTTGTTTCTTCTTCTCTTCGGCTTCTCGCTTTTCAGCCTCTTCCTTTTCTTTCTTGGCTTTCAATGTCTCTTCGTCCTTCTTTCGCCGTTCTTCGGCCAGGCGATCCAATTCTGCCTTCTTTTGGGCCAAGCTCTCCTTTTCGCCGCGTTTCTTCTTCCAATCAAAGTCGGCTTGTGTATTGAAACTGGCATGGGCATCCCATGGTTTCTGCGTTTTGGTGCTGGGTCGCTTCTTCTTCTTTTCGCCCCAAGGGGTGCTAGTTTTGAGCGGAGCCACTTTATCGTCTTTTTCCTCCTCATTGACAGCCGACGTAGCATCCAAAACACTCATGCTCATGTTCATCTTTTTCATGGCTTCTTGTCGTTCCTTTTCAGCTTGTTGTTCCGCCTTTTCTTTTTCTTCTGCCTCCTTTCGTTTGCGTTCTTCCTCCTGTTTTTTCTTCTTTGCTTCTTGCTTTTCTCGCCATGTCAATACGCGTCCTTCCTGCTTCTTTTTGGTGGCCTCGAGATTACCCCACGGTCCTGCACCACCTCCAAATTTCTTGGCAGGTTTTGGCTTTGGTTTTTCTTTTTCAACTTTTGCCTTTTCTTTGAGAGATGCCAATTGCTCCTCCATTTTTTTGCGCTCCTTCTCGGCCTCTTCTTCTCGTTGACGCCGTTCTTCCTCCCGTTTCTTTTCTTCCGCCTCCTTTTCCTCGGCTTCCTTTTTCTTGCGCTCATCTAGTTTGACTTTGTACTGATTGAGTCGAGATTGCAAGATGTTTTCCTGCTTTTCAAAGGTCTTTTCCGCGTCCACCATGATGCCATGTTCGGCATCAATGGTCATGCTCATTTCCCGTTGAAATCTGTTCCTCATGGGGGAAACCGACTTTTGCCGTTGTGCCTCTCGTTGTTTTTTCTTTTGTTCCTCCATTTCCTTTCGCTTTTTCGCCTCTTCTTCGCGTTGTTGTCTCACTTCGTCCATCTTTTGCCGAGCCTTGCGTTTTTCTTCTTCAATGATGGCTTCCGTCTTGGCTTGCTTTTCCTTGCGCTGCTTCATCTTTTCTTCCTTTTTCTTTTTCTCCTCGATTTTCTTGGCGTCTTCCTCTGACTTTCGGGCTTCCATCTTCTTCTTGTACTTTGCAAGACGCTCTTGCATCTTGCGTTCTGCCTCGGTAATCTCGGCGGGTGTCGGCATGGTGATGGTGTTTTGTGGGCTAAGCAGCAAGTGGATTGAATGGCTCTGGAAGAGAGGAAATGAGAGTAAAGGCTTTTCTAGCCTCTGCTGCGAATGAGCTATGAGACGCCTAACTCCTTGAACTGATGATCTTATCTAGAGCTAGCTTGCTAAGACGGCGTGGGAAACAGCCAAAGAATTGGCTTTTGGAAGAACGCTTTTGGATTCAAAGATCCAAAACGGCTACAGGAAGCGTCTTTGATTGGATCTTCTATCCGACAAAGCAAGGGCTTTTCCAGAAAGTTAGCTATGGGTTCAACTGCTGCGAGTTATTCTTCTGTCGGGAGATGCACAGCCTTGCTTTGTTCCAGATGAAGTATCCGTGCATTGCCATAGAGCACACTCGGACACGAGCTTCCCAGCAAGTTGGTTGTCGTTGTCGTGGGTGACAAGAACCGCAATCTTGATGCCTTGGTCGCGGATCCTTGGTGACTACACTGGGTCCCGCTATCCTTTCAGGAGTCATCATGCAAATGACTGTTTGTTGCCAGCCTAGCCAGCTTATTGCTTGGTCAGTGTCAGCATGGACAAGATAGACCGTCTTGTTGCCGTCTTGGCTTGGCCTGGCTGGGTCATACGGTACGGTACACTGCCAGTGGAACAACAGTGGCTGACAGGAGGCCTCCAAGAGATAGAGCTAGCTATTCAGCGGGAGATTTTCTTTGCTTCTTCTACTGTTGCCCGCGCAAGGAAAAACTAAGGAATAGAACGAAGAGGACTGGGGTGTGTGGTACAACTACATGTAGAATATCAATAATGTTGTATTGCACTCATTTTCTACAATGAAACCCTTGGTTGTTGCCCTCCCCCCTGCAACCATTTCAACTTTGTCGCCTCAGTTACTTTTTGCTATCGTATGACCTCAGGTTTTGCCCTACATTCAGAAGTTAGATTCACTGCCTTTTGGCCTCCTGTATGTTGTAGATAGCCTTCAAGTTTGGCCTTTTCGTGTTGTGTATAGCAAGGCACCAGTGCCATGTGTTGAAAAAACCATTGAACATTCGTTGCTCAAGTAAAGACCGGGTAGCTTGTACTGAAAGAAAACCCAACAAAATGTCTAGACCCCTACTCCAGGACCTGGAAGAGGCCTAAGTCCAAGACCTTCACCTGGCCCTCCTCCTCCACAAACCCAAGGACTCACTCCAGGGCCCAAACACGGCTCCACAGATCTCACTCCTGACCCAAACTGGACCTACCTCACGACCTACACACACACAGACCAAGCTCAGGATCTGCAACAAGGCGCAGTAACAGCAAACAATGATGTGATGAAGTGCATGCCCACCAAAATTGTGTTGTGTATTGCTCAAGTGAAATAAACCCTTCAGTCAGTGATTTCTGACAGGCCCTGGAGCAAGTCCTGGTGTTTGGTCAAGAGTAGACCCAGGTGAAGGTCCTGGAGCTAACCCTGATGATTCTGGTGCTCCTCTGGGAGTGGGGCCTGCATCAGATCCTGGAGTGAGACCAGGATTAGATCCAGGTCAAGGTCCTGGTGTTGCTGTGGATTGGGCCCTGGTGGTGGACCAGGAGTACTGGTACATCTTGAAGTGAGGCCAAGAGAAGGTCCTGGTTGATTCTGAAGCAAAGCGGGGCGTGAAGAGGGACCTGGAATGAGACCTGGGATAGGTGGGCATGGAGTAGATACAGTGAAGGTCCCGGTGCTGGACCTGGAGTGAGTACGACTGTACGCCCCGGAGTTGGGCCAGGAGAAGGTCCGGTTGTAGTTCTGGGGTCTTGGTGATCATGGACCTGGAGGTGACCAGGAGTGGATCCAGGTGAAGGTCGTTGTGTTGATCGGGAGTGTTCCACTGTGAGCGGGGCTTGGTGGCAGGAGAAGACAGGCGAAGGTGATGGACCTGGGAGTGTGCCTTGGCGATGGACCTGGGGTAGGTTCATGTAGGCAGGTCGTGATGCGGGTTCCAGAGCATGATAGATTATCGCTTTGGGAATTGGCATGGCTGGGAAGATCATGGGCCAGCGCAATGCATGTTACCCCACGGGCACTCCTCGTCACCCAGGTGACGAAAGCCCCGAAGAACAACAGAAGCACAGAAAGTGAACGGGCTGCAGCAATGTCATCAGCTGTCCTGGGGGCTGCCAGCAGTTGAGCATGGCTGCCGTACGCAATCAAAAAGTAGCGTTCCTCGATGGATCAAAGAAAGAGCAGGGAGCGCTTGCTGAAATAGGGAACGAAGGGACATCCAAGCTAAGTGAAGGGAGAAACACGGTGCCCACTACCGGTACCAACAAACTGGTGCATGGCTGCATGCATGCGCAATGCTAAGCTTCATGTTGTGGTTCCGTAGTAGATCAACCCCGGAGACCAAGAAAAACAATCTAATGGCAGTACGGTAAAGGTTCTCGGTTTTGGCAGATTAGATTTGATGGGGCTGTCGAAAATGAGGCGTACTAACGATCCAAAGCTGGAGCATGTGTGTAATCCAAACAGGACATCGTATGTTGTCCCGTGCTGGCTACTCGTTCGAGTATCCACGGCGATGCCGCTACGGATGCTACTACAGTACCAGGTACCTTTCGTAGAGTCGCCGAAGACCTACCATCAATTTTGCTGTGTAGCTGAAACATATGAGTGATCAATCCGGAACATTGGAAGCATCTGTGGACCAGTGTTGATGTGTTGATACAGCACTTCCTTCACACTTCAGAGCTGCGAGAAGTGTCTTCGAAAAGAAAACTGCTTGGAACTGCAGGTTGCAGATCGTAAAACGCTAAATCGGAGCTTGATGCCTCCGAGCCTCCGAGTAAACTCCAAGGTGTAAAATTACATGAAAAGGAAAGCGTCTGAGAGCAATGGACCAGTGATCCAGTGATCAGTCAGTGATGTCCTCCAAGTAAACTCCAATGTGTAAAATTACATGAAAAGGAAAGCGTCTTAGAAGTCTTAGTGCAACCAGTGACCACTACTAGTAGTAGACTCCGCTACAGAATCCCTGTGCACTGTGCAGTGTGCAGTGTTTTGTAGCTGTTTTGTGCTGCTTTCACAGATTTACAAACACAAGGTCTTTACAAGTGTCGACTGAGAAGAAGCAAATGGCCTGGTAGTGAATTGTGAAGTGTGAACGAACACCAATATTGACTCCTGCAACAGGGCTTGCAAGGGGGTACTACATGTATGTATTGTTTTACCAGGTATCCGCGCTGAAACCAACAGCGAAAGCTCCTCGAACAATACATGTACTCATTGGAGTTTTGATGAAGCTGAAACATTCGCCAATGGCTTCAAAACGGTCTTGCAAGTTACTGCAGCCAGCACTCAGTAGCCAGCAATTCAAAAATCAAGAGCATGACTTCGGTGAACTTCCGCATCGTTTTGTTTCTTGGAGGTCAGATTGAAAGCAAGTCTAAAAATTGCCACCGACGCGTTGGCATCGAGCAAGACTACTGTTCGAACGAATCATCAACATCCGCCAAATAAATGTTGGCCCATCCATGTACCGGTAGAGGGTGATGAGGAGAAGAGATACTAGTACTCTTCCTAGGCTACCGGTATTGCAACGTTCTTGCGGTCAAGTTGGAAGTCTGAAGTCTGATGAAAGAACATTCAGTTATAATCAATACGTGAAGGGGCAAGGAGCATTGAGAACCTACTACCAGCTAGGCGCAGCGGTGCAGCTACATGGTACCTGGTACCTGGTAGCACTTCGGGCTTCGGGTTGTCGGTCCGAGGTCCGTGTCTTCTGGTCGCTCCTATTATTGTTCGACACCTGCTCTGTGAACGATCTTCTATCTTCTACCAGGCTGCTACCGCTCTGCAGTTCTTGTGGTTAGCTACTGGTATGCAAGCTTAAAGTATGCATAGCGCCACAAAGCAAAAGCAAGTCCCTCTTCGAGCTTGACGTCTCACATTTCAGGAGCAACTGGTATCCAGAGCATTAAATCAGAGCTGCATCGATGCATTGATACGGTGCCTCTCACCGGTCAAATCACTTACTAGTAGGGGATGAGCAAACTTGCCCATGGCTCTGTGTTGAATTTGTTAGAGCGTTTTTTTTAAAATTGTGTTCTCTAAGCCAATCTTTTACTTTGGCTGTTTTCTCTATTGGATTTGATTGGATTGCATTGGATTAGATTGGATTGCATTGAATTTCAGTTTACTATATAAATATCAGTACTATTTGGAATCCAATTCAATCCAATTCAATGCAATCCAATCCAATGCAATCCAATTAAATTTATCTTCTGGCAAAAATACGAATTTCGTCTTTTTAACTGATTTTGGCGAGTCTCACTCCATTACAATACAGGGCTATTGCAAGATTTGCCCATCCCCTTAGAGCATCTTCTACCGTACCATCAGATTTCGTTTAGATTGGGTCATTTGAACACAATCTAAACCAAATTTGATCATATCTTGTTTCTATCACTGTTGTAGAAATGCTGTTTAGATTCCGTTTGGGTTTTGGCCAATTTAAACGAAACGAATTTTTTTTAGTCAAGCCAATCAAACGAAAAATTTGTCCGTTCAGATTGGTTGTGACCGAACTACCAGTGGATTTTAAAGGGTGGATTGAGTCCCATAGTCAAGCAATGAGTCAGTGAGGTTCAATTGAACGAACGAAGACAAACTTGGATAGAGATGGCTTTGAGTGGTGACACTTACCTCTAATATTCAAACAAAATGTTATAGTATTAACGGCGGGTAGAATGTCTTACAGCCGTAGGATGTCCCATCTTCAGTTTGTGTCCTGGGGCTGTGGATTGTATATGTGGAT